CAATAATTTCGGATTTGGCTTTTCATCTAATTTCATATCCGAAAAATTATTAAGATTCTAATTACTTGAGTTGTATTCGCGTGAGTTTAGTTAGTATCTAGAATTTCTATGAGAGTTTGATAGGACTCATACCGTGAAAAAAGAACGAATAAAATTCAATTACAAGTCAAATTATATTTAATACTCGCAAATAATTAATTTTTTATTTGAAATTATATATATATATATATATATATAATTCTCCCTAAAACTAAAGCAATTTTAAAAATTATTCGCTGGCCCAAAAAAAGTGTGAGTCATTCTACCTCCAGTCCTAAATAAAGAGGTAGTTGACTAATTTGTGAAGATTAAAAATAAAGTTAAGTTAGTTATTTATAATAAATAGGTGTTGTTTTTCCTAAAATATTCTTACTAATTAAAAGTATATTGACTAGAGTTACTGTTATTAGAATGACTACCTTGAAAAAGAATACATAAATATAAGAGACAAAATAAATTAAGATTTTATATTTACAATTGCCTACTTAGCATTCATATTACTAAATCACAAGATCAATGGCAGATAATTTTTCAATTTTGTGCTTCAATTCATAGATATGAATTACTTTTATTCGGGCGTTCTTGCTTGGATTATTTCACTCCTAATCCTTAGGGAAAATATTTGAATGTCATGACTAAAAATAATCTCTAACTTTTGCACAGCAATTTCAAAACCTGAGCTTATACAAGACTATTAAGCCTGTAAAACTTCTTTATAAATCAATACATTGAACATTTTTGCCTTAGTGAACGATGAGATACCACATTTGCCATTCCATCTGGCATCTTAAAAATGTGTCCGAGAAAAAATTTGCACAAATAGTTTATAATACGGTAGACATAATTTTTATTTAAAAAAATCAGGTCAAAATGATGTGTATAAAGCAAGGAACCAAAAACCGGACCGGATACTAAACGTGCGATAGTGGGTTAAGGGTTAATGGTCTGACCGAGGTCAAACCGGAGTCAGACCGTTCATATTAAAATAATACAATTTAATAAAAAATAATTAAGAAATAACTTTATGAATTATAATACCTAAAAATTTAATTTAAATACAACATTAAAAATCAGGGTTATATGCTGTGTATTTTAAATATTTATTATTTACATAACACGGTACAAGCAAGGTCAGGAAAATGAAAAGAAAAAGAGGAAAGGAAATCACAAATAAAGACCCTCGAATTAGCAAAATCACTCTATGGTCACCTGAATATGCCAAATTACCATGAGGGACCCGGTCTCAAATTGCAAATAGCAAATGTTGGTGAAAAGACGAAATTGCCCCTCAGTGATTTGAACCTGCTGAACCCGCGGCACGTAGTCCCCCCACTATCGACAACTTCCCACTGTTCTCTGCATTCTCCCTATTGTCTCCATTTTCGCACACTGCGTACTGCCATTTTGCCGTAAGAGTAGTGTGGAGAGGAGTGTTGAGACGGTGAAGAGCATATTTGCTGTGACAGAGGTGAACAAAGCTGTGGTTTATCGGCATTGTGGAAGGGTTCAGAGAAGTCGAAGGCATGTTGAACAGTGCGGCACAATCGCTTTAGGTGATCAGAGTTAGCAGCTACGTTGGGTGACTGATTGTAGTAAGTTTGTTGGCTAATTTTGTTTGGATTGGTTGCTGCAAGAATGTGCGAATGATTGGTGAGAGTAAAAGAGTTTAGGGTAGGAAAGTAGAAGTACCCAAATTTTGATTGAGTGATGAAGAATGTTTTACTGTGAAAATATAGGTTTTTTCTGTTAAATAACCTGTGGGAATGGTATTTATGTGGGGAGGGAATGACAATATAGTTTCGTAGATGACAATAATAGTAGGGAAAATAACGACATAGGATATAGTCAAGGTAAATTGAATTGAAGAGGTACTAAGTGTGTTTTGTTGTAAATGAGAAGGTGGACGGGGGATTTGACAAGTTTGTAACGAAAATGATAATTTAAGAATAGGAAATGACAAGTTGATTAATTGGGAATAAGAAGATGTCAATGCGAAATTGACAAGTTGGTAATGGGAAATAACAAGGTTATAATAGTGAATAACAAGATTTGTATGCGAAGTAAGAATTTGATAATAGGAAATGACTTGTTTGAATAACAAAGCTGAGTATGACAATAAGACAAGTTTATCATTTCAAATGACAAGTTAAATACTAGTGTATGATCAAAATAAAATTATGATAAGTATGTGGGAATAACAAGTTGAGCTTAAAGATTGACAACTTTTGTAGAGAGAATAACAAGTTTATCATAGGCGTTTGATTGACAGAACGAGTATTGACAGAATTGTTGTTAGTCAATTAATAAGTTGTGTTAGTGAACTATTGTAGGTTGAATATTTTGCAGGAAAAAGGACATGGCATCTAAGGGAGCCTTCAGATCAAAGCCGGCACACAATGGCTGGTTGCTATTCAGAAGGGAGTATTTGGCGACATTAGGTGATAGTGATATCAAAGGCAAACAAAAAAGACGCTGTGTCAAAGGCATGGAGAGCTTTGTTTGATGAGGAGAGGAAGAGGTACACAGAGGAGGCGAAGAAAAGAAGGCCAGAAAAGATTGAAGAGGAGAAGAAAAAGAAATATGTACCATCATTTTTAACCCGAGTGTCCTTGAAAGGTTTTAAGAAATTACTGCACTTTGTGAATAATAATGATGAGTTAAGGGATAGGGTGGAGAGGATAGGATTTAGAAGCTTGTTGAAGGTTGGATTGAAGAGACTTCCCCGCGATCTCATTGTGACTATGCTAAGATCATATGACCCACCAACACATCAATTTACAATACGGGGAAAACTGAGGAAATAGGAGCAAAACATGTTGAGAAGCTCCTAGGAATACGCCATGGTGGGGAGAAGATTAAAATTGAAGTTTCGGAGGATGATGAAATGTACAAGAACTTGAAGAATCAGTATCGGAGAGTGCTATTCAAGCAAATACTAGATGACATTATTTCTGGGGAGGAAGATCATAGATTTGAATTCTTGTTTGTCCTATACACGCTGGGTACCTTTCTATGTTCGTCATCTAGCTCAGAAGTGAGTGAGAGGCTGGTGAGAGTCATGCGTTCCACGATGGATGACTTTGAAAGTATGATTGGGCAACACATGTTATGGAGGACCTATGGAAAGAAATGGCTGACTTTGTGAATACTTGCTTCTGGTATGACTTCTTTTGTTTCTCACTGTTTCATTCTCACTGTGCAATACTTTATTGGCAATATGAACAATGTAATTGGTGATGATATGTGGTGTTGCAGCTTTTTTCGGTGAGCATTTTAACCTCATCCAAGGTTCAGCGAGGCTCCACCAGTGCTATCCAATACTGGACAGATGAGAAGATCAAAGAATTGGCAATTTTGAGAGGAAGAGCGTTAGGGGGCTGTTGTATGGTGAGAAAGGGAGTGATGTTGTGTCTGGCAAAGACGAGAGGATAAATGTTGATTCTCTGGACCCAGTATGTATATCTTTGGTAGAGTGATATTCTTGGTGAACTTCTTGTTTGTGATAGTTACATTGTCATTTGATAACTGACTTGGTATATTAAAACTTATGTTGTGATTAGGTTTAGTGAAGTTGTCATTTGTTATAGTTGACATTGTTACTTGATAAACTTAACCTGTTAAAAACGGTATCAAAGTTGTGATTGGGTAATGTGAACTTGTCATTCGGTAAAGATTAGGTTTGGGTTGTTATTTGATAAAGTTGTTATTGATTATGCCTGAGTTGTGATGGGGTCAAGTGAACCTGTCATTTGTTACAATGTAGTTGTTATTTGATGTACCGAAGTTGCTAATTATAATTTATTAGTTGTGATTGGCTAAACTGAACTAGTCATTTGATATAGTAAAGTTGTTATCTGACATTCTGAAGTTGTTATTTATACTACTGATGAACTTGTTATTCGCAATAGGGAGAGGTTGTAATTTGTTATAGTGTAGTAAGCTTGTAATTTCATATACTGAAGTTGTTATTTATAATAGTTAACTTGTCATTGGGTAAAGTGAGCTTGTCATCTGCAATAGTGAGATCATGATGTGGTATAATTATGTTGCTAGTAAATTGATAAACGCCATTGTCATGCAGGAGCTGAAGCAGTTACGTGCACGATTAATGAAGAGGATAGAAGAAAGCCATCAGAGGCTGATGAATATGGTAGATGAGGAGCTGTTGAAGGTGCACATTCCAAGAGAGACAGATGGGAAGAGAAAAGGAAAGGCTCCTGCTGAGACACTCGCATCAATTGTTAGTGGGTCTGAAGATGACGATGACAAGGAGAGACAGCATGCTGGTGAGACTAGTGAAGCTGTGCAGAAGAATGATGGAGGGAGTGATGGTGAGAGTAGTGGGGAGAAGGAGAAAGATGACGAAGGGAGTGATGATGAGACAAGAGAGGAGGAGGAGGAGGACAAGGAGAAAGGTGACAGGGGGAGTGATGATGGGACAAGTGAGGAGGAAGGCAAGGAAAAGGATGATGGAGAGAATGATGAAGATAGTCAGGACAAGGATGAGGGACAGAGTGCACAGAAGGACAATGATGAAATGGAGGGTGACATACCCACGCCTACTACCCCCATAAACCTGTCATCTAATGTTGAAGGTGATGATGCGGAGGGTGACACAGCCGTCACTGTATCCCCCCTAGCAATTGTCAAATATGTTGACCCTGTTGAGAGGCAAACCCCCATCAGGGTGGAACCTGTGACAGCAGCTGAAGGTGTGCAGGCACAACAAGTAAGGAGATCTACCAGGGTTCGCTTCAACAAATTAAGTCTCCTTGGTTGGAGTTGAAGGCACAAACAAGGTTGAAGAGGCCTGCAGAGGATAAAGAATTTTTCTTCACCATTGTCAGCCGAAGTGTGAAAGGTGATGAAGGCGACTAGTAAGTATTGTGATACTTAGCTTTTTTTCTGATGGGGTTTTGTTATCACTTGTTAACATAACCCATATGCTAACTCACTTCAACCATTGTCAGTCCTTTGATTAAAATGTATGATGAAGATATTACCCGACGCTTGCTGCATTCTCTTGGGGGAAATAACAGAGTTAGTAACAGGGTCATGTCATTAGTTTGTAAGGCTGTGGTGGATGAGCAACAGGCTGTGGAAGGGCGTGTAAGGAGGCATATTTTTGATGCGGACTTCATGGTGAGGTTTCTTCATTAGTTTGTGAAATGATAAGTTTGGATATGAAAATTACAAGTCCTCAAAGGCAAATGACAAGTGTAGTATATAAAGTAACAACACTGTTAAGGCAAATAACCGTCTAAAGAAACTAATTGCAAACTGACAAAATCAATTTGTGTTCTTTATTAGGAGTTAATGATCGTGACCCAGCTCGGTGGGACCCTAACTACCATGCACAACAAATAATTCCTCAATTTGTCGGGTACAACATAGGTGACTGTGACTTGGTTATGGGTCCTGCACTTGTTGGTGAGCACTGGTTTTGCTTTGCCCTTGAACCCAACACCATGAAGTTCTATGTCCTGGATTCCATGCGAGGAACTGTTCAGCCTAAGAAGACCACAACTAAGAAGAAGCAAGCAGTCACCTATGACCCTTAGGAAATGGCCATAGCAGGATGTGTAAGAATCACCTGGGCATATTACATTGTATTATTATTGTCTGAAATTATAGTGATGTTGATGAATTTGATATATGTGTAGAGAGAAAGGTTCCACGACATTATTGGCATGGTTAGGCCAGATTTGACTGAGAAAATGCCAAATTTGGAAATTGTGCGGCCTGATGTACCTCAATAGAGTAATTTGTGAGTATACATACATTGCACATGTAATTTGGTGATTTCCTATATTTATTCTCGAATTGTTAAACTGTGATGGTGGTGTTGTTCCTAGGAGGGACTGTGGGGTGCATGTCCTAATATGGCTCAGCAGATGGGAACCCAATATTCCACTAGAATACACCCAGGTGATATGGTTTGCTTAATTGTTGTGACTGGTAAAGGGGCAAAGTAAGATTAACTTGCTGTTGAATCTGTTTTGCAGGGAGATGTGGCAGCTTTTCGGCGTGATCTAATGTGGTGGCTGGTGAACCATGATAACAATGAATGCCGTGAGGATGCGCTGAATCTTATTCCACATCCACAGAAGGGGCGAACGTCCAAAAGGAGGAGAAAGTCCCTATAGAGAAAGAATTTGGGCCATGAAGGACATTGACTGTAGATAATGTTATTGCGTTATCATTATGTGTAGTGAACTTGTTGTCTGGCCTAACTGCTACCCAGTTATGACAATTAGTAATGGTGAAATGACATTTTTATTGACATCATTGAAATTGTGTTCAAGTGATGCTATTTCCACTTTTCTTTAACGTATGACAACATCAATATGCCAATTAACAAGTCCATTAAGCAATACATGAAGTACCTTTTTTTTTTAATGAAATGACACTATTTCCACTTTTGTTTAACATCTGACAACAGTATGCAATAACATGAAGTACCTTTTTTTTTTAATGAATACACTATTTCACTTTGTTTAACATCTGACAACTTAGTAGCTAAATAACAACTCGGAAGGAACATGAACTTCATTTTTTCGAATGAAGACAGTATTTCCACTTTGTTTAAGTGACAACTTCACTTGCGAAATAACAACTTCAGAAGTGGAAGCGGCGAAGTTCATTTTTTTCCTATTTAAATGACAGCCTTTCCACTTTTGTTTACCCAGTGACAACTTCACTTTGCGAAATAACAACTTCAGAAGTGATGGTGAAGTTCATTTTTTCTGTTTAAATGACAGCTTTCCACTTTTGTTTACCCGTGACAACTTCACTTTGCGAAATAACAAGTTTTGAACCATGGAATCAGTTTCAAATAACCCAAAGCACAGGTGTTTACAGCAACTTATTTGCTAATAACAAGTTTGTTACAATACAACATCAGTATGTCAAATAACCACAAAGCACATGTGGTTTGACAGCAACCTCTATTTGCTGATATAACAAGTAAGCAGTCTGCATTTACATACAACCAAGGGAGTTTACAGCAATACTAAGTCAAATAACACAAAGCACATGTGGTTTGACAGCAACCTCTATTTGCTGATATAACAAGTAAGCAGTCTGCATTTACAATACAACCAAGGGAATTTACAGCAATACAATGTCATTTAGCAAAAAGTAAGAGGTCCGTTTACAACAACCAGATTTTGCAATAGTCAATAACAAAAAGACATTAACAACGTCGTTGACTTCTTTTTTCCTTGTCAGCAAACATATTACTTGCAAAAATAGCTGTGTAGCTATGCAACTAGCAACACCTTCTCCCAAAAAAATTAAGAAGAGTGGAGCGTATATACACCAAAAAATTAGTTGTGCTTGTAGAAATTAACTTCAAAATGGGTTGGGATTTTTGCAACTCCTCCTTGTGTGTCCAGGTTGGTGGCATCTGGTGCAATGGTAGACTTTTTGTTCTGGAATTGTGATTCTGCCGTTTAGTCCTTGGTCTTCCAGGAGGCCTACTTGTATTTGGTGGTAAAACAGGGTTTGTTCAGCAAGATTCTCAAACATATAGTCATTTGGGTTAGGCATATCGATTGTTACCACTGGAACCATGCTCCTGCCATATATTTTCTCCTGTGCTGAAATTTTGTAACAGTCTTCAACATATTCATATACATTCCCCCACAGTCTTAATGGCTGCACAAGCATGGCAGCATGGAATTCCTGACATTTGCCAACCAAGACAACTACATTGGTGTAGACCAAGGTCTACTCTTTGATCTCCACGAGATGTATGTACACACAGTCTTCCCTCCATAATTGTCACAGCTCATATACCTACTGAAATACACATTCTCCAGAACCTTTGCCTCGGTTTTTGGCCAACACAATTCCTCCCTTACTCATAAACATATATGATGCATGCATCTTCCTTGCTACTTTCTCCCGATGCTCATGGATCATTTGCGCCACATTATGCTTTCTCTCCTTCACCATCCAAGAATTGAAAGACTCAGCTATATTGGTTGTTATATTGTCCCATCTTTTAAATGAGAACTTGCTCATTGCCCACCTATTCACATCACTTGATTGATAACCCATCATGTAACTCAAGAGACATAGTTCTCAGCTCTGCCATTGCATTATCAAAGTCACTATCAACCCTTGCATACTACTCTTCAGCCTAATTTTCTTGACATGCTGTCCTTTTACCTCTGTTTACTTTCACTTGTTCAGCGCTGAAGTTTTCCTTCACATGCCTATAACAATACGCATGTCTTTCACCTCCCAAATATGTTTGACAGCTCCTATTATGGCATTGTGTCGGTCTGACACAATCGTCACCTGCACCGAACCAACAATTTCTTTAATTTTGAAAGAAACCAAGTCAATCATCAAGATTCTCTGATTTCACCACTGCTATTGCAAAAGGCAACAAGTCATTATCTGCATCATATCCCGACGCTGAGAGTAGTGTCCCCTTATATAACCACTTAAATGAGTTCCATCAATATTAATATAGCCCTTGCACCACTCAAAAAACCCTCAATACACGAACCATATGCAATGAAAATCGGCTCAAATGTATTACCAACGGCAGCCCATTCAGCAACTGTTTTATCATCAGTTTCCTTCCATCTTTGGCATATCCATGGTATGAACATATAGGATTCTTCCAGTTTCCCATGTATGTGTTCCATGGCCTTTTCCTTTGCTCTATAAGCTTGAGCATATGTTAGCCTCACACCATATTTCCTTTCCAATGTCTTCCTTATTTCAGTAGGACGCTTTTCGGTATGTTTCCTTATCTCCTCAAGTATTATTGATGACGTCAACGTAGCATTGCCAGTATAAGTGACATCTAGGTTATCTTGCGCTGAATGAATGTGTTCATTAACGAATGTGGTCACGCGTAATAAAAGAATATCCCTCCCAACAGCATTTGCACAAATCTTCCATGGACACCTTTCCACTTTACACCTCACATTCATCTTCTCCCTACTATTTCTCACATATGTCGTTGCAAAGTTCTGTGCAATACTAAACCTGTACACAGCCTCCCTAAAAGCTTGGGCATATGGAATATATTGCCCCACTCCTGCAAAAACTCCAACCCATTTCATGCAATTCAAATTACCCCTCAATGTCCCTTCACTCCCTGAACCGTCACTGAAGTTTGTCTGACTTAAACCCCCTCCTTCATACGTTAGGCATTCAGCACCATAGTCAACAATGAGTTGTTCATAGTTATCACCAAGGTTCACCACACCTTCAGTCATTTCTGCCGACAGCCCAAACAAATTCTCACCCCTACACCCATAATAACAACATTCGAATAGAAATTAGCAACAACACATTAGGAAATAACAATATTCTACTGCAACAAAGTTAGCATAATAACAAGATTTGTATGGGAAATATCAACAATTCATTATAAAATAACAACTTACTACTATAACAAACTAAGCAATATAACAACATTTGAATTGAAATTAGCAACAACTCATTACCAAATTACAACTTCCAACCGCAACTTCATTACCTTAATTACAAGATTTATATCTAAATTAACAACAATTCATTACCAAATAACAACTTTCTACTGCTGTGCAGTACACATGATAACAACATTTCTTGGGGTATTAACAATAATCCATTACCGAACAATAACTATCAACTGCAAAACTTTAACCACTTACATTTCTCCATCATTCACTACTCCACCTTCCTTCTGGTTCCCTTTCGCTGCTACATGCAAATGAGCACTGCTATCGTTATATCTAAACATATTGCAAATATCACCTTCATCATAAAGATCAACCAGTGTGCCCTCAGCAAACTTAACCGTGTACTTAATTTCGCACCCTTTAGCATCATTGTGTACCAACTATGATATTGTTCCCCTTAATTCCTCCAGTGTTATCCCTTTTTTTATGCTGCTTGCTCTCACACTCCCTCCATCGTATTTAACTTCACCTTCACTATTTCTTTCAAAATATCCACCAACATGGAAAAAACAAAACAATTCCTTCCAACAGCTTGACCCATTGTTACAGTTCATTTTGTCATCCTAACCTGGAACAACAATTTACATATAAAAAAATATATCAACTTCACTATACTTTTATTCAATCAAATTTGCATTTACAAATCAAGACCAACTAACTCTTCTCTTCCCCACTTGACATTAGGGTTTTACAAGTTGGACATTCTAAATGACAAGATCTTTACTCCTCTCCCCCCACTGCACCACCTTAAACTTCATACTCAAACTAATAATTATTACCTCCTTCCATTTCCCCTCCCCCACTCTCCCATTCGTGATATTCCTAACAGAGATTAGTGGCAACCTGCGTCATGAAAATCACAAGTCAACAATCTGACTACAAAGACTAATATTTTGAATCTCAACCCAACCGAACCCTCCTTAAATAGTATTATTCCATGATCAACTCCACCGCTCACTCCCTCCATACCTATCACCCAACGACCCACAATACCACTCACCACATTCAAGAGCAACATCACATTCCTCGGTCTTACAGGGTAGAGAAGAAGAAGAGTATACTTAGAAACATTGCAAACATTACTTACTTGATTCTCAACCATGTGCACCACCAATCTTCTCCTCCAAGCTCTCCATGATCACATTGTTTGTCTCAGCCTTCATTAATGAATCTGATTGACTGAGGGGCAATTTCGTCTTTTCGCCAACATTTGCTATTTGCAATTTGAGACCGAGTCCCTCATGGTAATTTGGCATATTCAGGTGACCATAGATTGATTTTGCTAATTCGAGGGTCTTTATTTGTGATTTCCCCTTAAAAATAACAGCCTCTTCCACTTTTATTATCTAATCCAACCAGACCTTGGCTCTACGGCGATTCAACAAGCTAGCAGTGCGCTTCTACAACCTGAGCAATGCCATTTTCGTCTGGTCGGATCTGTGAACGCCTTCTCCTCCTCCCCTCTCCTCCTATTTTGCAGCTTGAATCTCAACTTCCTCGTTACTGCTCATTACTTCTTCTATTTTATGGTATCTTCTTAAATTTTTCCATTATTTTCCTCCCTTTTCCCTCTCTTTTCTTCTTCCTTTCCCCAGTACATCTTCGTCTTCTTTCTAAAAAAAGTGAACCGGCCAACCCGCTCAATCCAGTGGGTTGCCCAGTTCCTTCCGATTCACACCGACTTAATCCGATTTGTACCGGGTTGATTCCTTCCCGGTTAAAATGGCAAACCGGACCGGACAACTGGCCGGTTGGCCGGTTTCCGGCCTAAACCGGCCGGTCCGGTCTGGTTTATTATTCCTTGGTATAAAGTAATTTAACCCTTAA